CCTAGCAGGATGATCAGATCCAGCTGAAATTTACTTATAAAATGCAAAACACATTGTTGATGATGTGTTGACTGTGGTGAGGGGGCGTGTCTGTGGGGTGGCGGGAAATTTTGATGGACCGCCACAAAACACGAATTCGCTATAACTTGAGTGTACATTGTCCAATCGGCTCCACACTTTAAATGCTTGATAACAGTCCCGCCCTGAACACGTGTACATGACAATATTCAGACAGTGATAGCGCCACCTACTGGCAATAGGAAGTAAGCGCTGCATGGCGATTTTGAGCTGATTAATGGGAGATTTTCATGTTGTGGTCCTTACGTGTTTCGACGGCAGGCGACGCGGGTGCAGCACGCCCCGAGTTGCATGGAGTGCGAGATCCCGCCCAACGCTGCTTGCAGCTTTAATTCTTGTTTTATTTTTGTGGAGCCGTCCAAAAAGGCCTCTCTTTCCAATTAAAAATTGCAAGAAATTTGAATCAGAAATCCATCTGGGATGAAATCTCCAGATAGGAGTGCCTTTAACTACTCCTTATATACACAAGTGAAGTAGGAGATAGGTCTGACAGCAGTATGCTGTTATAGTTACATTCTATCACAGAGGAGAACATAGAGCTGGAAATCAGGAAATAATCTATATGCGAGTTTGACTTAAATTGGGGAGAATAACAGGGGAATTCTAGTTTATCTGAGTTCAATCTCCTCCAGGGGGTCACACAAGTTCAGATCTATATACTGTAACAGCTTGTTCCTACTTTGTATAAGAGAAGAGTCCATCCCAGGTACCGGTCCAATTTAGGGTCTAAAGTGCAGTTGAAATCACCTGCTATAAAGAGCCTTCCCTGGGAGAGAAGCAATTAATAAAAATTCATTTTTAAAGAATTTGGGATCGTCATTGTTTGGGGCATATACATTAATCATGTTTATCTTTCCATTTATCAATGTACCCTGGACAATCAGGTACCTACCCCCTATGTCACGGATGACGTTGTCCACTTTAAAGGGTATCGGGAGAACAAGAACAGGGTCTGAAATGATGGCAGATGTTAGTAAAGCCAACAAACTATTTTTATTTTAAATACATTTATTTTGGTGTCTCTAGTATCTAACCCGGTAGGACCTCAGGTACCAAGGTTAAGATCTTGAGTCTGACCTGTAGACCTTTTAAAATAGTTTGTTGGCTTTACTAACATCTGCCATCATTTCAGACCCTGTTCTTGTTCTCCCGGCCACCAGTTGTCCTCTTTGTGTTCCTCCCTTTCCTCATCACCTGACCAACTAACTACCTACCTACAGACATGATACTGACCCTACCCGATTGTCCATAGTTTAAAAATATTAAGATGACGACCCACGACCTGGAACCTGCAAAGGAAAGCAGAGAAGCAGAAAACAAAGAGGCACCTTGACACAACGTTACAAAAAGAGGTGAGGCCATAAAAACTTAAAAGAACGAAAATTGCTGACTTTTTTTACTGACTCTGTGCCTTTTCAACAACTTCTCCATGTAAAAAGATTTGAGAGGTCTAGGTGCAGTGGTTTTGGATCTGGACCTTGTCCAAAGTGGTCTATGTGCTGAAAAAAGTGTGAAATGTGTCTTTATTGCATTTTCACAAATAGAATAAAAAGGTTTCACAAATCAGAGACTGTGTTTTTATGAATCTTCAGGGTCTGTACATCAATCCAGTCCAGATTTGAGAGGTCTAGGTGCAGTGGTTTTGGATCTGGACCTGGTCTAATGAGGTCTTGGTGTAAAACAAAAACGGTGAAATCTCCCCTTTAGCATTTTCACAAATAAAATAAGTTTCACAGATACAATCGTAGGTGTCAGGCAAAGCTGATGTCTTACCTAAAATGTCTAAAACTTTTTCACATTAAGAAGTGTCACAAAAAAACAGACAATCAGTGGACAAACAGTCGCACTGCACAATAAGTTAATTTCCCCTTAACTTTCCCCTAAGTGCCGAATCGGAGGCTGGCGAATCGGAAGACAACTTCAGCGTTGTGCCAACTTCACCAAACCTCTAACATTCCAGGATGTAAACTTTAGATTTAGAAAACAAAGTATGAACAGTTTCAACCAGGCCATATATGTAATAGGAAGGAATGATGTAAACTGTAATCTTGTTCTTAAAACAATTGGATGTCGTACACACACACACACACACCTCTAAACTAAGGTGTTATTTATAACTAAACTAATCCCAGTACTGTCTCCCCAAACGAGACGCCAACTGATCCACTAACAATGAGGAGCAGTTATGAACTGATGAACCACACAACAAACAACCCCCCCCCGTGACAATCGACTTAATGCAATAAGCAAACAAAATATACGATATGTATATGCGTCTGGTGTGTGGGATTAAAACTACATCAGCGTATAGTGACAATCAGGTGCAGCCGGGTAAAGCATAGTTAAAGTGTGCATGAGACAGACAGTACCTTTTCTTAGTAGGTGAAAAACAAAGTTCAAGTTAAATGTTCACGTCGTCTGCAGCCGTTGAAAAGTCCAGTCAATGACGGAGGTCATCCCAGTGTAATCCTGCTAGCTGTGGCCAGCCTGCTAGGTTTCCAGTTCTTTGATGAGCGACTCCACACCTGCAGGATCAGCAAACACGCAAGGTTTCCCTTTGTGGAACAGCCTGAGTTTAACAGGGTTAATTCAATTTTATTTGTATAGCGCCAATTCATAACAGAAGTTATCTCAGAACACTTTTCAAATAGAGCAGGTCTAGACCGAACTCTTTAAAACATTAATTACAGAGACCCAACAGTACCACCATGAGCAAGACCTTGGAGACAAGGGCAAGGAAAAACTGCCTGTTAAAAGGCAGAAACCTAGGACAGATCCTCCGGCTCTAGGTGGGTGGTCGTCTGTCTCGACCAGGGGGGGGGGAGAGAGAGAGCGAGAGAGCGAGACGCACAGCAACAACAGTATTGGCAATGGCAATCTAGCAGGACCATGGCAGGAGGCTCCACCAGGATCCATGAGAACCTGCGAGACGAGAAAGCACAAGAACTCCGGGGAAGAAGTGAAGTTAGTAACATGCATTAATGGGACATGAATGAGTGCAGAAAAGAGAGGAAGGGAGGAGCTCAGTGCACCATGGGAAATCCCCCGAAATCTTTCTGGCCGCCTGCATGACTCGGATCTTGTCTCAGAAGTTTAAAAACTTCAGTATCATGACTTGCGGAGCAGAGGATTGTGGCACACCTGGTAGTCTGAGATCTTTCGATAATCAGCGGGGCAGGAAAAGTCTCGGGTCCCAGGACGTCGGGTAGCCACTTTTCCAGTCTGTATTTGAAGACCTGGGAATGAGAAGGGGCTGTGGTGTGTGTAGGAGAGACCATGGTGGCCACTACACTCTTGAAAAATGTAAAAGACCCCATCTACAGTCAGTGTTTGATTGTCAGCTTTGGGCTACTGTAGAAACATGGCGGTTCAACATGGCGGACAAGGAATAGGTGGATATAGGTGGTCAGCAGGTGGGTGAAAAGACTGAATTTTAAATTGCAAGAAAGTTTTTTTCTGCAGATAAGGAGGCAGAGGAAGAGGAGAGAAGACACTGATAGGTGAAGAGATCCTCAGGGAGTTTGGATTTCAACCATTTTCTTTGAGCTGCACGTAAGGTGGTTCTGTCAGCACACACAGAGCTGGAGGGGACGGACGAGCCTGCAGAGAGGTGAGAGGACAGAGAGAGTCCAGAGAGGAGGACGAAGTAGAGAGGAGAGAGTCAGGTGAGGGGAGAGCAGAGAGGACAGCTCAGGTAAGAGAGGAAGGAGACAAGGAGTGAAGGATGAGGCAGATAGGGACAGTATGTGTAGAAGAGAGAGCTCTGAGAGAGGAGGAGATGAAACAGCGCTCAGAAACATGAGGAGGAGTTACATAATATTAACATATATAGTATAATATATAGTAGAGCAGTTCCTGGTGGATAACTGAATCCATCAGGTTTCAACAAAACATCAGAATCTGTCAAACAGTGAGTACACTGTCCTACGAAGCTCAAACACTCACTCAATATTTGTTTCAGTTTACTTAAAAACACAATCTGACTTTTTTTTTTTTTTTACATATAAAAAAAAATACATTGACAGAAAGGTGTAATTTTCAATAAAAACTACAAAATACATAAAAACCAAAGATGACTTAATTGTATTTCTGAGTGGTCGTTGGTGCTTTAAGGTTTTAGAAAGTCCTTTTTCTGTTGATGTGTTTGCTCTGATGAAGGTCTGAGTGACACAAAGCTTGTTAAATCGAAATCTTTACTTTCCGAAATAGATGTTATTTTGCCTGCAGGGTTTGTTTTGTACATGGAGAAGAAAACGCTGTACGATGGTTGAACCAGACTGACAACTGAAAGAGACAAAGATCTCTCTGAGCAACAGTTCAGTGAGAATATAAGAAATCAGCATTTGTTGGTTAAACTGGAAGCTTTCATCAAACTGTGCAGATTTAAATGAGAACAGGTTCCTGTTTCTGTGTAATTAAGAGACGTGTTGCTTTAGCAAAGCTATTCTTAAAACTTCAACACGTTCGGTCTCTGGTTAGCACTGTTCAAACCTTTGAGCTTAATGTGTGTATGTAGTGAAGAAAAAAAACATGTTACAATAATTTATAATAATGAACTGAAATCTAAAAAGTCAAATCACTGCCTTTCTGACATTAACCTTTCCACTACATATAAAAAGACCTTTGTTCAGCCTCACCCAAATGTGTTCATGATTTTATCACTTTATTATCTGTCCTGTTATCTGTCCTTCTCTGCAGTTGAGCTCCAAGGCGAGGTCCCGACAATGTTTCTGATGATTCAGATCAACTCAACTCTACTGACTGACTTATCTGTCTTATTGGACTGTCTCTCCTGAGGTTTGTTTAATTTATATCTAATGGTTTAAAGAATAGGGTCACATCTATTGTCCATATGTAATATTAATAGATATTGGTTGATTATTTTCCTTAATGACGAGTTTTGATGTTTTTCTTCTCGTTACCATAAAAGCAGAGTTTGTTTGAGTCGTAGCAGCAGGTAGTTGAAGCAGTGTGTTGTAGCAGCCACTAGAGAGGAGCATTGTACAGGTTTTAATCCTGACAGCAGCAGCACAGAGCAAACTGAAGGAGTCTTACTGAGGTGATTATCCGCAGTTTACAGGTCAAAATAAACTCTACAACTTTATTCTGAATTAAATTATTGACAAAACAAAAGAGGGAATTTAACAATCGTTAGCTATTATGAACATAAAGCAGCAAAGATGAGCAGAAACAGCTGTTTTGTAAAGAGCGGTATGAACTAGGGATGCACCGATCCACATTTTCTCACTTCCATTCCAATCCCGATACCTGAATTTGGATATCGGCCGATACCGATACTGTTCTGATACCAGAGCTCTGTTTTCTTTATTATTATTATTATTATTATTATTATTATTATTATTATTATTATTATTATTATCATCATCATCATCATCATCATTGTTGATTTTAAATGAGATAATATGAAGAAACTCAACAGGCAAGTATGATAAGTACGTATGTATGCATGTATGTCCCAAAAGGCAACTTGAGGTAAGTATAAGGTAGTCAGACTAAAAGGAAGTCAGAAAAACAGGAAATCCTGTTAACAGGAAAAATCCCATCCTGAAAACAAATATGCAACTGTAAGGGTTTCAAATTTATTGTCATGTCAATATTTATTAAATTCCCAAAATGTCAAATATTTGAGTCTTGAAATATAAGAAAAGTAATTAGTGTAAACATCACACACTTTGTTTCTGGAATGACTCCAGAAGTGATTCCTGACAGCTCGCCTAAAAAAAAATCCTCATGCGGTTTCATGTGGTGCTTTTTTAAATGTTTGATTGCGTTCGTAGTGTTGTACGACGCGAGGGAGCTGAATTACGGCTTTGCAAACATTGCATTTTGCTGTCTTGCTCTGCGTTTCCAGTGTAAAGTATTTCCACACAGCGGACATGTTGGCTAGCCACAATGCTGCTCAATGCTATCCTGCTAGCTGGCTGCAAACAGCGGAGGCGTGTCTCATAACTGTCTCATTGAGCCGCCCCTCTGTTCAGATAATCCATTCCACAGTTTGCAGCCAGCTAGCAGACCGGCCAGCAGGAATCACCTGTGGAGTCAGTCAGCAGACAACGTTAAAGTGCAGACATGGCTCATGGATATCAGAAATCTGCGCAGGTTGGATCGGGAAATTCCGATACGTGAATTACGCTGGTATCGGTCCCGATACCGAATCGGATCGGCCCCATCCCTAGTATGAATATATAGTATATTCATCCATAAACAACAAACAGTATCTGTCCAGGTTGTTCTGGTTTCAGTCCACACTGTCAATCTCTGATGTACATTTGTAGATGAATTTAATTTAGTAATTTATTGATGGATACATTTATATTTACAGTATATCAGTAAGACCCTGATAACAGATATTATGTGCATGATTGATTTGGTAATTGGAAAATGATTTGTTTGCAGTTGTGTTTTAACATATTATAGAGCTTTAGTGACACTAGGCGATCCAACTGAACTTTATTTACAGTGTCAAATGAAAGGAAAAAGATACAGTATGTTAGTTGTGTGTCTGGCAGCCTCTGTCAAGTGGCCCTCACTTTTGTGAGGTTTGACATGCAGTTACCCCCACTTGAAAGGGCAGCTTGCTTCAGAAGATTTTTTAACTGGAATTCACTCAATGACCAAGATTCATCCTTCTCTTTTCTTTTATTTGAAATTTGTCAAGGCCAATAGCAGGTGAATAACCTTAAATACAAACACTCTTTAAGAAAATGTAGAAACCATAATGAATCACCATAATCCAAACTCAAGGACTTAATTTATTTAACTACTAGAAATTAATCACAAATATAAGTAGTAAACCAACATTTAAAGTACCCCAAATAAATTAACTAAATTTTGTTACTGTTAAATGATGATTTCAACTTAATGATCTTTAGCAGCTTTTAAATACATAAATGACATTTATCAAGTTACTTTCACCTTGAATACTTTTTAAGTACACCACATTTCTTAACTTCTTAACCCATATATAAATTATATCACATTTTAACTTTCGTTTAAATCACAAGACTTCTTAATACATCACATTTGAACCTAAATGAACTAAATGAAAGCTCACCGGCTCCTTCTTTCTTGATTGAAATGAGCTTTAGTCCTGCAGTCTTATTTCCCCAAGTCCAGTCTCTCCAACCACATGCTGCTTCCTCCTACCATGCTGTGAGTGAATGTCTTTAAACCCCTGATCACCAAATTTGTTTCACCTGGTGCACTCAGTCTGCTGCCTTCAGGCTGGGAGACACACCTACACCTGATGTATTCAGCCAGAGAGGGGCACAGCCTGCAGCTCAACTTAACAGCAGCAGTCCATCAGAACAGCCTCAATGCACCTTAGCTATGATTCTACAAATCTCTGGAAGTCTGCTGGAGGGATAGATCAAGAAGAAGAAGAAGAAGAAGATATACTTTATTGATCCCCTAGGGGAAATTGTTCTTTTCACTCTATTTTTTATACACACGCAGGCTGAAATGCACACTTCATGCACTTGTGGACATGCAAACAGGGAGAGAGAGATGGTGCAATGTTACCCACACCCCATGAGCAGGCTCGGGGTTAGGTTGCCTTGCTCAAGGGCACGTCGGCAGCGCACAGCAGGTGAAACTGGCACCTCTCCAGCTACCAGTCCACACTCCATATGTTGTGGTCTGTGGGACTTGAACCGGCAACCATCCAGTTCCAGCGCCAAGTCCCTACACACTGAGCTACTGCCTAACAAATGTAGCTCCTGCCATCCGAGCCCCGACAATAAGTTCTCTTTCAAAGTCACTGAGATCTTTTCTTCTCGTCATCTTGATACAAACTCAGAATCAACTGGGCCTGCTCAGCATTTTGTAGACCACAGAGCATGAATTAATGAATGAATGAATGAAGATTATTTGATGATTTATTATGATCTTTTTTTGTCATTATTATTAAGTAACATTCTGGCATGTTAACCACCATCTAACAGCAAACAACATAAACAACCAAACATATACACCTTCCACAAATAACATTCAAAAACACATCTCACAATAAAAATATAACAAATAGACAAACATATAAACGCAGTCCAATATACAAATCCAAGAAGCCCAGAAGTCTGACTTCATTAGCGTGATTGGATGTTAATTGCTCTACATTCATTATGTTTCTCCTTTATCCAGGTTTTCCTTTAATATGTCACCTGTCTTTATATAACAGTGCTTAACAGAAACATCAGCAGGGTGGACTCCATGAAAGGTTATTTGTGGCATCATTAGAAATAAAATGGTTCCTTCTATCATCCAACTATATTGTCATCATATATTAATATATATATATACACTAGAATATGAGTGGAAATGTGAGGGTGTTTGGACATGATATTACCACATACATAAACAACAGACAGATAAATAACAGGTTGAACAGCAGAAGAGAAGTGAACTAACAAACTGTCTACCATTTTATCCAGTTCAGACTGAGTGATGGACTCTGAATCCAGCAGACCGATGGAGGTGGCGGCACTCGGTCGACCTTTCAGCCTTGGGATGTTGTACGACTGCCGCAGTGATTCACTCATCACTGGTAAAGATTCACATTTAAAGAAACTTAATGCATCCGACCAAACTGTCAGTATTTAAAGTCATATTCAGTTAATTAAAGTAATTAAACAGCAGTGTTTGTGTTCTGAAATAACGTTTGAAGAAACTTCTTTCTACCTAGTAACATCCCAAAATCATCATCATCCAACAGTTTATTGGCCTGTTCCCAACTCACTGACTGCATTTGACTTATGTTAGTCTGTTTCTGGAGGCTGAACTTGAGTTTTACTTCCTTTGCAGGAATGACATTGTGGGATCGCAGTGATCTGAAAAAAGATATTGGAGAAAGACCACAGAACTATAATGACTTTGAGATAGTTGCATCTGAATCAATTGAGGACAAATCTTCAGCATTAAATGTTGAAGCATCACTGAAAGCAAGTTTCTGTAGTGGACTCATAGAGGTTGGTGGATCTGCCAAATACCTGAAAGATAGTAAGACTTCAAAAAATCAGGCCAGAGTAACACTGACGTACAAAGCTACCACAAAGTTTCAGGAACTGTCAATGGATCATCTTGGAAGAGACAATGTGAAGCATCCGTATGTCTTTGATAAAGGATTAGCAACACATGTAGTCACAGCTGTTCTTTATGGGGCACAAGCCTTCTTTGTCTTTGACCGTGAGGTGTCTGAACAGGAAGATCATCAAGACATTGAGGGTAACTTGAAGGTGATGATCAAAAAGATTCCCACCATTGCTATAAAGGGTGAAGGTTCACTGAAAATGGAAGACAAGGACAAAGCAAATGTTCAGAAATTCTCCTGCAGGTTCTATGGAGACTTTTCCATTCAGAAACCTCCTACAACTTTTCAGGATGCAGTACAAATCTACCAAAGTCTGCCACAGTTGCTGGGAACTAGCGGAGAGAACGCTGTACCAATGAAGGTCTGGCTGTTGCCACTCGCTAGTTTAGATTCTTCTGCTGCGAAACTCGTCCGTCAGATAAGTATAGGACTAGTTCAGCAATCACAGAGTGTCCTGGAGGACTTCAGTGAGCTGGAAATGAGGTGTAATGATGCACTGAAAACCACCACTGCACAGCAGTTCCCACAGATTGGCAAAAAACTTAAAACCTTTAAAGAGATGTGCTCTGAGTTCAAGCTGGAATTCCAACAAACCTTGGCAAAGAAACTTCCATCAATCCGAGGAGGAGGAGAAGAGGAGGCTGTGCTCGCAGAGATCCTGAAGAAGAGACATTCTTCTCCTTTCAACAGCAAAGACCTGAACGAGTGGATGGACTGTAAAGAGAGAGAAATGTACACTTTAAAGTCTTTCACCAACATAATGAAAAACACCAAGATTGTCCCGTCTCAAACAGACCTGTACAAGGAAAGTCTCAGTGTAGATTATTCAGTGTGTTTTGTTTTCACCTCACTGGGAAGTGATGAACCGTTCCTCTCAGCTTTATCAGACTACTTAAAAGGACAAACCAAACCAGACGACCCTCAACATTCACATACTCATGATGTAGAGAAGGAACAATGGTATTCCTCAAAAGAAGTAGCAGATGCAATGAGAAACAAAGCAAAGCTCTTCAGTGACTTTGCAGAGGCCAACAAGGAGAACAAGAACATTAAGTTCTTGATAGTTGGTTCAACAAATGAGGCAGAGAAAGGTTCAAGCATCTACCTTTATAAAGATGGCTTTTCTGTAAGTGAGAACTTTGAGCCGCCTTCAAAGCCTGAAACAGTGACAGTCAGCGACATAAACCACAACAGTGTGACACTGAAGATTTCTCCACCCAGATTTGGAGCAGAGAACATCACCTCCTACTCTGTTGAGTACTGTGTCAGTGGAGAGGATGGATGGCAACAACAGACAGCATCAAAAGCTGAAGAAGTCACAGTGAGCGATCTGAGTCCTAACACAGAGTATATGTTCAGATGCAGAGCAGTGACCTCAGTAGGTGTTGGACCAGCCAGTGTAGTCAGTGGTTCCATTAAAACCTTACCTTGCAGCCCTCCTGGAAAACCTCAAGTTGAACCAAACTCAATTGAGATATCAGTGAGCTGGGAGAAACCTGCTGAGTGTGGACAAGATGTCCAGATACAGAGCTATATCGTGGAGTACGCCAAAACAGACAACGGGATGAAAGAGGAAGATCTCCAATGGAACCAAATGATGTCGAAGGCTGAAAACAGGATCATTTCAGAGCTTCAGTCAGAGACAGAATATGTTGTCAGGGTCAGATGTGATTGTGGTGCAGCTGGAAGAAGCAAAGAAAGCATCTCTGTTAATGTCTGCACAACAACAATTACACATCTTGCAGAATTCCTCAGAAGTACAAGTGAAAGGTTAAATTCTGAATCACCTTCAGTTTACAAACTATTGCTAAAAGAAGAAGATATGGACATCGATGGATGCAGAAGATACAGTTTTGGCAAAGAAAGCACGAGGCAAACCCGAACAATAATGCTTTTTGGAGAGAGCGGATCAGGAAAGTCCACTCTGATCAATGGAATGATCAACTACATTGTTGGTGTAGAATGGAATGACAATTTCAGATTCAGATTAGTTGATGAGGATCAGTGGAGATCACAAGCTGAAAGCCAGACCTCTGAAGTCACAGTGTACAAAATCAACCACCAGGAGGGGTTTAAAATCCCCTTCTCTCTGACCATCGTGGACACACCAGGGTTTGGAGATACAAGAGACATAAAAAGACACGAGGAGATCATTGAACATCTATGTAATCTCTTCTCTGCTGAGCTTGGTGTCAGTGAAATTGATGCTGTGTGTTTTGTAGCTCAGGCTGCTTCAGCACAACTCACACTATCACAGAAATATATGATTGATTCAGTTCTCTCAATCTTTGGTAAAGATGTGGCAGAAAACATCAGGGTTCTGGTGACATTCGCAGACAGCCAGCGTCCACCAGTTCTAGAGGCAATCATTGCTTCAGGTGTCCCATGTCCAAAAACAGAAGACGGGCTGCCAGTTCACTTCAAATTAAATAATTCAGCTTTGTTTGCAGACAATAAATCAGCAGCAGCAGACAGCATGAGTGAGGATGAGGAAGATGAAGGCTTTGATCAGACGTGTTGGAACATGGGAACAAATAGCCTGAAGAGGTTCTTTGTTGCTTTGAATGTCACTGAGACCAAAGGTTTGACGATGACGAAGAACGTCCTCAGAGAAAGAGAGCAGCTTGAGAGCTTAGCTGAAAAATATGTGAATCAGGACATAATAGATAATCTTTCATCATTGTCAGAGGATGCAGACCAAATTGAGATGGTGATCGAGTGTTTGAAAAGACTTAAAGAGAAATCACTGGAGCCAAATCTTCTCTCAGTTCCAGAGTGCATTGACATTCTTATTGTGGGACTGAAATCTGAGGCCAGACCAGACTGGGAGAAACAAGTTCGAGACCTTAAAGAGGTAAGAGAAGAGTGGGAAGATGAAGATGAAGATGAAGTTGATGATGATGATGATGATGATGATGATGATGAAAAGATGAAGATGATGATGAAGATGATGATGATTTCATCTACTTGAGGAATCAGATGGTGATGGTGATATTAAGGATTTCATATTCACGATATATTAAAGATAGTGATGTCTGCTTGATTGAGAGGAAGTTGTAGATGAAGATGATGATAACTGTGAAGATGATGATGATGATGATGAAGATTATGATGATGATGATGATGATGATGTCATCTTCTTGATGAGGAAGATCAGAAGGGTGATGTCAATGATTACATATTCATCATATATTGAAGATAGTGATGTCTGCTTGATTGAGAAGAAGAAGATGATGATGAAGATGATGTCATCTTCATCATCATCATGAAGAAGATGTCGGTATGATTAACTCTTCTTCAGGGATTGTTTCACTCTGTTGCTATTTATCTTTCACTCATGCTCAACCTATCAGGACCTATAGACCAATGAAGGGCTAGGGATTTGGTGCCTTGCTCAAAGGCACATTGTCAGTGCCCAGGAGGTGAACAGGAACCTCTCCAGCTACCAGTCCAAACTCTGTACCGACTGGTCCGTGCTGATATTGAACAAAAACCCTCTGGTTCCCAAGTAAAGTCCCCACGGACCAGTTCACAGTGATCACAGAGGGTTTGGGCTTTTTATGAATTTATTTGATCGGACAGTTGAAGATAAACAGTGATTACAAAATCAACTAATCCAAGACTAACAAGAAATTCTCAAATATAAATGTGTCTGAGAGAAAGAAAAAGTGCTCAGTTTTCTGTTGTACAAACATATTCCAGCAGGAATTATCTGCATGTGCTGTTTAAAGGAAAACACAGATTTACTGTGAGTTCTGATAAATGTTTAAATGTGACCACAGTTTGTGAACCATTAACTTCCTGACACCATTAACACCAATGTAAAGCTTTAAGTCTGCAGCTCTGTTAACTCAACAAACCTCAACACTGAAAATGTGATTTTATTTCCTATTATGATCATTTAAATTATCTTTGCATTAAAGTTTTGGTTTTATTTTCTTTGAGGTTTAAACACATAGTTAATGTGAATGTTAATGACTTATTATACTGATGTGTTGAATTACATTTTATTGTCCTGTAGTAATAAGGTGGCTTCTACTGAATGATGGAGAGATGATGAACTGATAAACAATCAATCTAATCAGATATGTATATTAATAATGTTTCTGTCAGCAGTGTCACTATAACCTGTCCAACATCCAGTGATGAAGATAATAGACTCTGTTCAAATGGACGCTGGACTGTCTGGAACTTATTTTGTTTTTATCTTTAATCTTTGAATCTGTTTCCATTGCACCCAGTTTACATTGTTCATATATTTTACACTGGGTTATCAGCTTCCTGCTTATTTTAACATGTTTTATCTACTAGTAACTTTATTTTGTTGAAGGTTTGAAAACATGAAGACAATCTGAATCATTTGAATTACTCCTGATGTGTATTGACTTACATTATATTGTCCTGTTGGGTAATACGATGGCCCCCACTGAAAGAAATCATTCAATAATAATCAATAAATAAATGTTATAATTACAAGTGTTGTCTGTTGTCCTCTGATGTGTCAGTGTCAGTTTCTTTTCATTGTGCAGCTTTGTTTTCTCTTCCAGGACCTTTCAGCTCAGTCGTTACACTGCTGACATCCACTTCAACCCCTCCTCCTGCTTTTACTCAAGTACTCAAAGCTGTTTTAATAGTATTTACATTTTACCATACTTTATACTTTAAATCTGTGTCAGAGCAAATTATTAGTTAATTACTTACCTGACAGCTTTAGTTAGTAAAAGAAAAGGAAGAGAGGAAGTTGGACAACCTGGTAGGTGGTGAAAATAAATAAATATATATATATAGCCCTGATCAATACAAACTCTGTTTAATTTAATCACATTAAAGTCATTGACCCTGTTTTACTGTTAACCAGCATTAGAGAGAGACATAAAGCTAATGCTACCTAGCTCAGAGGAGGACAGCAGACTGTTACACAGTTTAATGTCACCAAGGCACGTTCAGGGACACTCGGAATTTACAGTGTTAAAAATATGTATTTGCCGGGGGTTTGAATCCGTCTGCTGAACAGATCCATTAATTGTTTCAACCCATCTGTGCTGCCCGTGCCATGAGTGGCATTCAGGTGCAGATGGGAGAAACGGAGGCTGCAGGGTGGACAGAGAGAGAGTTGTTGAGTTGAACCTCGGACTGGCTGACTCACCGCAGTGACAGCGGGTCAGCTGACTGTACCACTGTGTACCGGGTTGTGTAAACCGACACTGAGCTCCTCATGCAGTGATTCAACAACCACACACAGTGCTCGCCTCTGATTGGCTGCAGGAAGTTAATATGAGATTCATTTAGTAATAGAGTCTTAAACCTGCAGTCTGTGTAACAACCAGCAGGGGGCGCTAACACTCTGATAGTATGGAGTCTTATGGCGATCAATGAGCTCAGTAAACAGTTTCCTGATGAGTTTCTGGTCTCAGTCTCTAGTTTCAGTCTTCTTCCATACAGCATGATGTTCATTTAGTAACTGATGGTCCCATTTAGAGTAAAACAGACCATAAAGCAGGGTATGCTTTAGGGCGGGGCTACCTTGTGATTGACAGCTCATTCTCAGTGAGTGAACACCATGTAATGGGATTACTGCACATGTCAGATTACATCAAGATCCGGAAAACATTATTAAAATATTAATCTCACACACACACACACACACACACACACACACACACACACACAGATATTTACATTGGAGTGAATAAAAATATGTTCACATAAAACAGTAAACTGAAAAAGAAAATGTTTGGAAAAAAAAGAACAGGGTTCTCTGCATAACAACAATCAGACAGAAAGTCACATGTTCACATTTCAAAACTCTGCCATTCAAAATGACACTACATGAGCTGATCGGCCAATATATGAGTCACCTGACCAAACACCTCATTGTCACCTTCAATCAGGAAGGAAGCGCTAGAAAAACACAAATGTAAATATATCTGAATATAGCAGATGTTGAGCTTGGTGAAAAATAAAAAAATAACAACAGTGTGTGTGTGTGTTTTTGTGTCTGTCTGTGTGTGTGTGTGTGTGTGTGTGTGTGTGTGTGTGTGTGTGTGTGTGTGTTTTTTCTGTTTTTTTTTTTTTTTTTTTTTTTTTTTTTTTTTTTTTTTTTTTTTTTTTTTTTTTTTTTTTTTTTTTTTTGTGTTTTTTTGTGTTTTTTTTTTTTTTTTTTTTTTTTTTTTTTTTTTTTTTTTTTTTTTTTTTTGTTTTTTTTTTTTTTTTTTTTTTTTTTTTTTTTTTTTTTTTTTTTTTTTTTTTTTTTTTTGTTTTTTTGTGTGTTTTTTGTTTTTGTGTGTGTGTGTGTGTGTGTGTGTGTGTGTGTGTTTAAAATCTGAAGAATTTTCTACAATTGGAATTATTTTAGTATTAAAGCAAACTAAAGATGAGTGCTTTTCATTACAGTGTGTAGTTGGTTAGACAAACATCTGGTGATATGAATGAAGTGTGTTATTAGATAATGTTATATATATATACATATATATATATACACATATATGTATATATATATATGATAATATATATATATAGATATAGATATAGATATCTGAGGTATTTTGCAGTTTTGTGAATTGTGTTTAGTATTTTGATAAAACCAGACTAGTTTGCAATATATATATTATATATACAGTTAATGGTCAGGATGTATAAAATATATGATATTATAATATATCTTTCACTGTGTGTTTGTAATATAATAATAATAATAATAATAATAATAATATAATATTATATATTATTATATAGATCAGATATTTTTGCTATGGATCCATTCAGGTGTAAAATAATACGGCTGGAGGATCTGTGACTCTTTCCCTGATCAGAGGTCACATCACAGACGAGGCCGAGGTCCCCGCTGCCCCAATATCACGTTAGAGTTTACCCAATAAAGTGTTCTGATGGACCCGAACACTCCCGCTGTGAGGGGGGGGGGACAGATGGCGTGAGAGCAGAGCGGACCTCTCCTTCTTCTTCTTCTTCTTCTTCTTCTTCTTCTCCGGCTCCAACACGGCGAGACTGAAGGCGAGGTCATTCATTAAACATGGCCGTCTAAAAATAAAAGGCCTCCTCCTTTAATCTGGGCCAGAGCTCCGAGTGCTTTACATCAGAGAGACAAAGAGGGGAGGAAGAGGAGGACCACGTTTCATCTTCATCACCACCAAAGGAGGGATCTGTACGGCGGGAGGCTTCACTGCCTGACCTCTGACCTCTCAGGAAGCTCCGTTTAATTAGTGCATTGATTAAGAAAACCCATAAAAACACTGTGAAACAAATCCGTGAGTTTTATAAATGTTTTCTGTTTTTAAATAAAATGACAAAAATATCCTGTGAATTTACATGTTTAATGTAAAATAACATTAACAATCTGCAACTGTAAATTATAATAAAATTACTGATTATTTTTTAAAAATCCCTTTTTTACATTAAAATTAATTTTGCAAATCTATAATTTTTTTTTGCAGATATTTACTGTTAATTTAATTAAACTGTTAAAGTCAACTTTAATACTGTTAATTTATTTCTATAATGATAAGTATGATCATTATAATAAAATCAGTGACATTAACAGTCAATAAAGTATTAGTTGTGTAACTTTAATGTATTAGTTAGTGAACTGACAGATATGTTGTATAATGATGGAAGTTGAATAAATGTTGTTTATCAGTGTATAAGGTAAACTGTCCAAATACAGTTGTTATCAGTGTAAACAGCAATAATTACTGTAATCTCACAGATAATGACTTTTATTACACTCAACAATCCAATAATAACAGCACTCTGCTGTAAATGTAAGTCTGATTATTGTATTATAGCAGAGTTCACCTGGATTTACGAGCCTAGCGTAACATATCTAACGAGGTTTAAACTGGGAGGTCGAGTCACGTTCAGTAATATAAATATAACAATATATAGTAATATATAATATTATTAATAATATAGAACAATATATAGTAATATATAATCATTATTAATAATATATAATAATATATAGTAATAAATAATAATATATAAAAAACACCCAGTAAAAACGACGTACTCAGGAATGTTTCTGTAACTTAAAGAACTACGTTAGAAAACTATAAAACATATAAAATTATAAAAATATATAAAAATAATTTAATTCAAGTGAAACATTGGTTGAAAGTTATCTCTGTGTTTTTCAGGTTGAATAAGATTAATAAAAGATTTAAACTATATAAAGTAAAAACATTTGAGGGGCCCAACACGGATCCCTGTGGAACTCCACGTCACCTTAACTGAACTCCCAAACTTCAGCCATTGTTATTGTTACGACGTGAGAGACCCCCTAGTGGCAGAAATCACTGGTTGTACCTTTAATCTGATTAAACTCTTATTCTTCATCATTATCTTAAAATCCAACTCCCTCCTCCTCCTCCTCCTCCTCCTCCTCCTCCTCCTCCTCTCTTTCCTCAGACTTTCACATTTTCTCTTAATCCAGAAACTTTAGCGTTGTCTTCCTCCCTCCCTCCCTCCTCCTCCTCCTCCTCTTCCTCCTCCACTGGGTCTTGTAGGTGAGCGGTATGATTGGGCGGCAGGTTGGAGAGGGGTAGTGCTTTTGGACATCACATGGTTCACATTTCCAGCTCCGTGAGACGCCATTTTGGAGGAAAGTTTGGAATTTGTCGACCTGGGGGAGGTGGAGGAGCGAAGAGGAGGAGGAAAAGAGGAAGTAGAAGAGAAAGAGAGGAGGGATTTACACTGAGAGAAGTTTTGACACGAATGCACAACGCAGGCTTGTGCTGGGGGATAATACACAAGCCGTGCGTGCCAGTGCGGGATAAAGCAGCCCGGGCTGGAGTTTCTGTAGGTGTGCCACCAGGCTGGACTTTGAAGTTGTATTTGTGGAATAAACCCGCAGCAGCAGCTCATGCATTCGTTAAATTGAGCGTTTTTTACATGGAGTTTGGCGACAGCTAGAACTCCACTTTAGTGTCGCCACCGCGGTCAGCCTGCGCGGTGCACGCCGGGGCAGGGAGCCTCTCCGGCGGGGGGAGCACAGCGCGGAGAGTCGGTGGAATAAGGGACGGAGCTTCTTTCTGTTATTAACCCGGGATATCACTGTGTGTCTGCCCGGTTCCGCCCGGTTCCGCCCGGTTCCACCCGGACACTTGGAGCTGTTGTTTCCCGCTGACAGGGAGAGTTTGGAGGGGGAACTTGGTGTCGTCTTCAGCCCGGACTTGGAGCGCTGACAGCGGGCGGAAGGATCAATAAAACCCGCCCTGTGTGTGTGTGTGTGTGTGTGTGTGTGTGTGTGTGTGTGTGTGTGTGTGTGTATGCGGCTAACACAGAAGTAGCTCCACACCGAGCCGAGCCGAGCCGAGCCATGCCAGTCAGAAAGAAAGGTAACTAGCAAGCTAGCTTCTGCTAACCCCAACCGCCTGCTGGGAGAATACAAACAAACAAACAAACAAACAAACAACATGTAACTCCACACAAACACACTGCTGTTTACGGCCTAACCGAGCCGAGCCGAGCCGAGCCAGGCAGGTAAAGTGAGTTAAAGTAGAGCTAGCAGCCGGTTAGCTTCTGCTGCTAACCAAGTTGTATATGGGGCAGCTTGTCTGGGACTAAAAATAAACTAATATTAAAAAAATAAACTAATAATAAACTAATATTAAAGATCCCCGCAGACAGAAACACATTTAAATTATAAAATAATAATAACAATAAAATATGTGAAAAGTTTGACACAAGATGTCTCCTCCTCCTCCTCCTCCTGTTTCATATTCAGTCAGATCAATAACAGCTGATTGAGGTTATTGGCTGTCCATATCGATCAGAGAGGAGTTTTAACCAACTTTTTGTCTTCATTATATATTTTTTAATCATTTTAAACAATCTTAAAGACTTTAAAGTATAAATATATGTAAATATATCATATGGATTTTAATAAAATAATTTCTTATTTTTGTATTTTTAAAAAAGAACTTTATAACCTGTATTTATGGATGTTTGCTGTTATATTCAATAATAATAGAACAGTGAACTCTGCAGGCCGATTATTTCCTGTAATTATTGATCAGAGACGAGTTTAACTGATATTTTAAGAAACTTTTTACACAATTATTTATATAATAAAACCATAAAAGCTGCACAGTTAATGGAAATATTATTAAAATCACAGTAAAAGTTTAATATGCAGCCGCTGTAATGTGACAGTTATAATAAAGTATCCAAACTGTCAAATAATCCAGATTTTAATGATAATTCATAACAATCACATCACAATATCTGTCACAACAATCCAAATACAATGTTTTACTATAATGGTGCTTCATGTTAGAGATGATACGGATGTTTCCAGCCGCTACGATAACCAATAGTATTATTATTGTTGTTATTTATTATTAATTATATATATATATATATATATACTGGACCAGGTTACTGCTTCCTGGTCTGCGAGCAATAAAACCGCCACCGCAGCGTCCTTTAAGTAGGTTAACTGTAAAATAAATAATAAACTGATAGAAACTTGTGTACTTTTCACTTTTATCCTTGAAAAATCAGATTCCCAAAATGTGTCAAACAGCGAGTTAATAGCAAACTAATTATCCTCAGTAATTATAATTTAAGTCCCTCAGCAGCAGTTCCTAATGGAGCTGCATCTAAAACACATTTAATGATCAATGGATACGTTATTGGTTAGTGATCGGATCTATAAAACGTCAATATGTTAATGTTTCATAGAACTTCTGCCACATGTTTAATGAAATAATGTTAATTAGTCACAGTTGGTTGAAGCTGAGCTGATTGATCCGTCTCTGTGTGCACTGACCTTAAATCACTGCTGATCAGTTAATCGATTAGTGATCAGATCAATAGGAAATCCCTTTTTAAAACTGTTTTAATAAACGATTAAGTTTTATTTCACAGTAAATGATCAGCTGATTAATTTATAATAGAAATCATGTTTGGCAGCTGTAAACCAACCTGAGGGTCGAGGCCTCGCTCGGGGTCGCCGAAGCTTCACAGGAGGTCAAAAATGGGTGAAAACAATTATCCACAGTCGGTTTATATCTCCGTGTTTCATTCATTCATTTCTGTAAAGAAAACTAAAGAAAACTGTTATTTTTAAAGTTCATTTAATTCACAAAATTTGTGGAAACTGATTAAAATATTGTGACCTACTAAAACCTTGTAAAAAGTACTTCATAAAGAATGTTTTTAAAATAGTAATAATATTGTAATAATAACTTATTGCATTACAGTGGATTATTTAATAGTGTGAACACAAGCTTTATTAGAACAATGGTCAAATATCAGGAGAAGAAAACAGTGAATTAGTTAAAAATCAGCTGATTAATTCTGTATGATTGTTAAAAGTAAAAATATATAAGTAGAATCTACAAATATCAGAAAAACTCATCTCTGATCAATATTCACAGCAAATAAAATTCAACCCTTTTAAAAAGCATCCCCCCCCTACAAAAACCAAAGTTGTTACACACAATAACAGTTTAAATCAGAATATAAGCAGTAAAACCTGAGTGATAGAAATAAACAAATATCTGAAACCATTAATATAGTTTCAATTGAACTTAATATTTAACAAACAGAGACACAAAATAACTGGACACATCCAGAGAGGGAAAGATAAAATATATATATATGATAGTGTGTATATGCTGTATGTCCAAGAGAACAGAGAACATTAGAATAAATAAATAGATAATAAATGTTCCTTCAGTTTAATATGTTAACACAATCTGGTCGTGTTCATATGAAGATATGGCAGCTCCAACTTCATCCATCTTAAAACGTCTTAAAGTGAATTGAATTCATAAGCCAGCGTCATTAAACTGTCTCGGATGTTTATTACTTTTTATATTCCAACATTTTATCTGATTAATTTCTTCAGCAGCAGAATCACAAGTTTTATAAACTTTATTTATTCTGACTCTCATGTTTTTAGTGTATTTAACTAAATATTAAAGTATTTCACTGCAGAGCCAGCGGAGGTCAGTATCTAAAGCAGCTCCCAGATCAGTTAGAACAACCAGCCCTGCTGTATCTCCCTGACTGACCTCCATGGAGCTCAATATCTAAAGCAGCTCTCAGATCAGTTAGAACAACCAGCCCCGCTGTATCTCCCCAACTGACCTCCGCTGCTTCCTCCCTCCTGTCAGACGCACAGCGAGCCCTGCTGCTCCTGGAGGAGTACCGGGCCAAGCTGCAGCACGCCGAGGACCGGCAGCTCCGACACTCCATCCAGAGGGTCATCGACATCTTCCAGAGCAACCTCTTCCAGGCTCTCATCGGTAGGACCTCTCTCTCACCCTCATAACAGCCTGTAAAGCCCCTTCAGACGATCAATGATCTGTGTGATAACGTTCAAATTCATCTGAGACACAGGAGCTCTGCTATAGAGCAGAAACTGGTACCTGAATTCAAAAATACTCAAGACACTTTTTCTTTGTCCCATAAAGAACATATATGGCATCAAAAGGATGTAGCTACGTAGTCAAACACCCCATAAACAATCTGATCTTCACACTTTGTATTGTTATTATTATTATTATTATTATTATTATCCTCCAGAGCAGAAGCTGCCTGTGAGTAATCTGAGGGCCGATCAGCACCAGACTCCCTTAAAAAATCATCAGTTTTATGAGTTGTTGAGTTTGTAGAAACTCTATAAACGTTGTCTACGACACATTCTTAATTATTTGTCCCTTTTTGTAAATTTGGCAAATGTAATAAGTTATTTCTTTCTTTGTATAAAATATAGAGTCAGTTTGTCCTGGTGTGTTTGAGTACCGACTGCACATAGTTATCTCTCGCTGTATCGTTTATATTAGTAGTATAACTGTATTACTACAGTTATACGGTGCTCGTTGTACAGACTATATATATATATATATATATATATATATATATATATATATATATATATATATATATAAAGATCACTCAATGTGAGCCAGACTTCCTCCAGATGCTGTGGTGCTTTTTATTTGGATGTCCGGATGTATTTTAATTTCAGGTGTAAATGTGATGAACGATCCAAAAGCAATACAGACTGAGAGCAAAGCGAACCAGCAGGAGTTCAGACTGTTAGAAAGATCAGTTTTTAAAAGCCGTGTTGATTCGTCTTTTTCCAATTTCCTGCAGAAGTCAGGTAAAGCTCTGAGCCTTGTATCGATTAGTCTTTACAGCCCTAATGTGGCGTAAACCAGTGATTCAGTTCATTATCGAAGGTCAGATATCTGCTCACATGCTAAATGTCAGCAGACTAATGATGAGCCTCTGTAGGAAAAGAGTCGGCCATCGTGGCGTGTTTGTTTCTTCTGTGTGAGCCGTCGCAGCGAGGCGAGAGGTCATAAAGTGAGACCGTTCGGGGGCTGAGAGTTCAGACAACTCAAACAGTAGCAGCATCTGGTTGCAACCAAATCTGAAGGAATCCTGAATAATGAGAAGACAGCAGAGGTCAGAGGTCAGATTGTCTCTGTGACATTAATGTTATTATAACGCTGTATTATAACAGCACTGTTGGACAGTTTCCAATCAAACGCTTCTGAGGGCCGACGTGTTACAGACATCTATGGCCTCACTGAGATAGCTACATTAGCTAGATACATCTGAAAAAGAAAAAGCGAGCTGTCTAATGACTGATGTAGGTTGGGTAGCTTGTTAGTTAGTGTTTTGCTACATCGCTCTATAGCAGAACGCTAGGTAACCATGTCTAGCTACCTACTTACATCTCAAAGCTATTGTTAGTGCTAACTAGTGACAGAGAGATTCCTGATAGCTAACTGCTAGTTAACTGCTGCTAACTGTATCTGCCGCTCAGCAGCCGGACCGGGATCGAACACAGCCTCCGACAGACAGGGAATAATGTTACAGTACCGAAGTCATTTACAGAGTTTCCTGAGTAAATGGGTCGTGAAGTGGGTGCCCTGTCATTATTTTGCAATTGGCAGCAGGAGGAATACGATGGATCCTCGATTCCCATCCCGTCTTCACACGTATAATTATTGTTCCCTAAAAAGATCTCTTGCTGATTTGTCTGTTTCTTTGTTGTACATTAAAAGACAGCAGTGATCAAGACGTGGGACGGCTTTCTTTCTAACTAAAGGCTGAGCTCTGTAACTGCAGGTTGTCAGGCCTCCTGCAGAACGAGGATGGATCCTGTAGTAACGTGTGAATGGTGTCGATTTGAGTGTGTCTCTCAAGGACGTTGAGCAGCTGAAGGTTGCTTTGTGTTTCCCTCCGGGCTCGTCAGTCCATCCTGTCAATCAGCCTGATGAATGAAGATGTAATAAATCGCAGCGTATCGAGACTGACAGCTTCTAACGAGCTCCTAACGAGCTGCTGGTCTGTGGACACTCGCACAGATATATTTTCTTTACAGCGTGTCACTTAGTCACTGTGTTGGCCCTTTATTGGCGTTCAGTGTAACGTGTCAATCTGTCGGCATGCTGAGCAGCAGAGCGTCAATATGCTCCATTTAACCACTTTATTCTCCACTTTTACCTGCAGAACGCTGGTTCAAGGCCAGGTTCACGAGTGGAAAGACACCCATATAAACCAGTTATTTAACACAGAAGACACAAAAGACGTCATTCATTGTGAACAGAAGTCACCCTGCAGGTTTCCAGCACCCACTGTTTGTGTTTGATGACGGCGGCAGGCTGTCAGCTAACGGGACGCTGCTGCAGGGTTAACGGACGCCGAGCAGCAGGAATGTGGTCCGATATGTTTGAGTTTCCCAGGACTGACTGACTGACTGACTGACTGACTTACTAACTGTGAAAGTATATCAACATCATTGGGTCCTTTTTTAAATGTTCTAAGGTGTATTAAAGTCCAAATGAAATGAAAATGCCTTTTTAACCCTTTAAGATCACATCTCCATTCATTTTTTTACCTCTAATTAATAATTGACAAATTATTTCTTTGTATTTCTATATTAAAAACCAATCATTGTGTCTTCCTGTAAAACTAAATGTGACGCGTGCTTACGTCAGCATGAACTAATTAATAATAGTTCGGTACCCAGCCCCATCAGCAGCACAATGAGCGTTGAGCTGCAGTGTCCCTCACACAGAACCTGGTACACTGATGCTGCTGTATGCAAACGCTGCACTGTGTAAACAATAGTAATCACTAGATTCATTACATAATAATCACTCAGCCTGCAGTGTATCATAAGGGAAACTAGTGTCACTGATGAATTATTTATGAGGCTGAATGTACAAGATCTAGTATCAATGTAAAGCCTTTAACCCAATCATCTCCTCTCTACAGTGAATCAACAACAAACAGATGTTTATTTATTAATGTAAATATATCAGGGTTAAATCTGATTTATAATATCATCACTCTGGTTCAGGAAGGGAAAATGTTTCGTATTTAGACGACAGCGACGGCTCGATTCTTTCAGTTTCTGTTCCTCCTGCAAACATCCAGTTCAGCCTCCTCCTCCTCCTCCTCTCAGCATCTTCATCACTAATAGATGAGTGGAGATCATCAGTGTGAACTCAGTGGCCTGTTTCCTTCTCTCTTCATCTTCATCCTTCTGTACGGTTGCTCTGCGGCTTCAAACACATCAGGTTGATTTGTGTGTTTAACTCATCGAACTCCCGGTAGACTTCCACCGTCGTCTGGGTTTGTGAGGCTCCGGCTTTGTGGTCGTTGGTGGATGATTGACACGAGCTGATAAGATCAACAAGCTCTCATTCTGCTTTAAACTCTGCTGTCTACCACGAACACGAGACAGTTAATATTACTGACTCCCCCGACAGCAAGAAGACTTTAATCTCAGCAAACTCTCTTTAGACAACCAACTAAATAATCCCTCATTTACTCTCGTCTCTCCTTCCTCCTCCCGGTTTCATTCGCTTTCTCCCCAAACTCTTTTTCTGCCTCTAAACCCTCGGTCCAGTCCCTGAAAACCTCCTCCCGGTGGTCCAAAGCTCCTTCACGAGCAGTGTGAAAGCCAACACTCCCCTGGTGCTCTGAGCTAACTAACCTTATGGGTCGACTTACTTTAGCACCTAGTAAAGCTTCCTGTCCATCAGGAAACTAATTTCAATTCAATTCAGTTTTATTTGTATTGTGCCAATTCACAACAGACGTTATCTGAGGACACTTTTCAGAGAGCAGGTCTAGACTGAACTCCTTTTATAACATTATTTACAGCCTTTGAATATTTCTTACTCTATTAGTAAATCACATTGATTCAGTTCAACTCATGTTGAATAAATGTGTTAACAACATATTTTGTTCGCTTTTAATAAAATCAACAATGTAAACAACCGAATTATGTCACGATCATTGCTTCATCGTCAGCTTTGACTCCTAATTTTAAATAATAAGTTGTTGTGTTGTCTCGGCCTGCTACTGTAACATGTCAGCGTTAATGATGAGATTTGGATGTGCTAATTGCAGCGTATCTGACCTCCGCCCAGGATATGTGACATTAAGGGTCGAGGGCTGAAAACTCTGAGATAAGATATCAGAAAATAATGAAAAATGTTGAGAAATTCCCCTTCAAGTGTTTTTTCTTTGACCAACAGTCCAAAATCTCAAAAGATTCAATTTATACAAAGAAGGTTTTAATTTCTTACTTTCATTTAAAGCCCCTATAAAGAATCACGCTATGATCCCTGAATCATTGCTTCATCGTCAGCTTTGACTCCTAATATTAAATAATAATTAGTTCAGTCTTGTTCTGCTACTGTAACATGTCAGCATGGCTCAGTGTGTCCCCGGCCTCGGTGCGTTTGTCACGCTCACCCTGACGTCCCAACATCTGATGAAAAATAGATTTCTGCCACGCAGTTTCCAATCTGCCAAACCTCCCAAAAAGAGATGTCTGCAGCCGGCCGAGTACAGTGTAATCCCTCTGTGGACACGACGATTACCCCCAGTCCATAATCCCAACCCCCCCCACCACCACCACCACAGCTGATGATTTACAGAGAGAGAGAGCTGTGTGCTTCAGTTTCTGTTTTTCTTCTCATTCTTTCAGTTCAGACTGGCCTGATTCCTCTCAGAGAAACAGATGGCATCAATCGAATCTTTTCAATTTAATAAATCAACATTTCAGCCCTAAAGATTTGGATGTTACTCTGCTAATTGCAGCGTGTCTGACCTCCGCCCAGGATGTATGACATTAAGGGTCGAGGGCTGCAAACACTGATCACTTTGATTATGTGATCGTTGAGTTTATAAAATATCAGAAGATAGTGAAAACTTTTGAGAAATTCCCCTTCAAGTGTTTTTCTTTTGAGTCCAAAACCTCAAAAGATTCAAT